TTCCATTCAGTGAATATTCTGACTGTCTTAAGAATGGGATTATTTATTTACTTCTCCTTCCCCCCTCCATGCTCAGTGTCATGACATGCAGATAACTTTCAATCAACCATACAGATTATAGATTATATCAAGGAAATATTTGTAGTCAACTTTTGATTACGCATATGAGAGTATGCATCTTACAGATTGTCTGCCTTAACTTTATGTTTCATTCTCTTTTACCTGAGTAAATACAGTCGGCCCTCCATATCTGTAGGTTCTGTAACTGTGGATTCAACCAATTGCTATTAAAAATATTTGGGGGGAAAAATTGTGTCTATACTGAACATGTATAGACTTTTTTTCTTGCCATTATTTCCTAAAAAAATACAGTATAACAACTATTTACATAGCATTTACATTATATTAGGTTTGTAAGGAGTGTAGAAATGATTTAATGTATACAGGAGGATATGCATAGGTTACATGCAAATACTATGCCATTTTATATCAGGGACTTGAGCATCCAAAGATTTTGATATCCACGGGAGGTCCTGGAACCAATCCCTCATGGATACTAGGAGGTGACTGTAGTATAGCCTTCAAATTAGTTTATCTTATATTTTCCACAGTCTTTCTAGACTGTCTTTACTTTTTTCTTCCCACATTCAAAACATATAGTTAACACTATACCATATAGTTATATGTCTACTTATAGTATAGTAATTATCCTCAACATCTAAAGTTAAGTTCTTGAAATCTAGGTAAAATTCACATTTGAGGAATTTAAGATGGCAAAAATAGGATTAGGGAACCAAGGTCAGGAGTAAACCTAAAAACACGCTTATACTCAATATAATGAAATTGCACACTAAACCAAGACCCCATCAGTGACATTTTATACACATTGACATTTTGTTCTCTGCTGTATCCCAGTGCCTATAACATACCTGACACAAAGCAAGTGCTCAGTAATTAAGAACTAATGAATAATAAGCATTCCATTTATCACTAGTTCAGAATTTTGTTCTCTGCAATTTCAGATCTTTATCTTGTGAATTCCTTTTGTTTTGATGCAGATAATATGCATGCTAAGTGGCTTTTTTTCCCTAGTTCTCCATCCAAATGTTTAAAACGCTTCTGATTATGCTTAACAAATATGTTAATGTCCTCTCCCTCTAATTCTTCCTAGGGATTCCCTCCATCAGTTCCATTTACCCATCACTGTTGTGTGTTCTAAGCCTAGGTGTACTTCCTTACCTTTCTCTAGGCTTTACTGTAATGTACCTCTGCTTTATCTGGGTCATCCACTTTGTCTCCTTTTTCCGCTTTGTACCTTTCCATGCCCTCTGACAGGACTGTCTGCTTCTCCTTTCAGTTTATTTCACTGATAATTTCGTGTTCAATTTCCCTTTTCTCCAAGAATGAAGAGGACAAGGATTACCCTAGTCTTATTTCCCACTGTTGCTTCAGTGCGTAGGGCATAATCTGGCACAGTGTCAGGTTCATGATAGATACTCAGTAAGTCTTTGTTGAATGATTGATTTATCTTTGGTTCTCCCTGCTTTTTTTCCTATATTTATCACCAGAAGGAGTTATTTACCACTCATGTATATTAAAAGTAAAATTCTTTAGAGAGCCAAAAAGGTTTTTGGAGATAAATTCAAATGTACTTGAATTTCAAATAAGGAAATATTATATACTCTTTGAGGTGGTGGATCCAGTGATGTAAAAAAAAAAAAAAAGTTTTAGAATGCAAAGCCAACCTTCTGATTAAATTATTAAGCAAGCCTTTTTTAACCATGGTTATCCTCAGTTTACTTATCTAAAATGAAGATGATTTTGTTACCTTCCCTAAATCACGGGATTGTCAAAAGGATCGAATAAAATTAGATAAAATTGTGTATGAGACCTATAAAGTACCATACATGTAATAGTCATCATTTTTCTAACTTACATTGGGTATTTATATGTACTGCATTTGTATCGTTTCTTCTTTAGATGGTTTAGCTTCTAGAGGGCAGCCACAACACCTGTTTTGTTGAACCATGACTGTTTGTTCTGCAGCTGCTTTACTTTTACTTTTTAACAGCTCCCTGGATTTGTTGGCTTCTCATGAGCTTTCATGGATTTTTATGCTATCTTATAGATTGCATGTTCTCTCTGCTCTCAATGTCTGTGTCATAGTAACGATTGTACAGGTTAGAGCTGATGTCCCCATTCATTCAGTCTTTGTCTGAAAAGTCCTTGAAGTTTAGTTTGGGAAGCCAGAGTAGGCTCAACAGTTCTTGTGACCTAGTCATTATTGTTTTTTTTTTTTTTTAGTGCACATGGTTGATGAGTCAGTAAGATTGTATTGTGTTCCTTAGTTATTTTATTACTGCTCTCTGATACAAAAAGAGGGATTGAAAACTGATAGTTTGATTTCACAGGTTTTTTGTTTGTGTTTTTTCCTTTTTGTCTTTTTTCGTGACTGGTAACGGGATCGCAACCCTCGGTGTCGCGCCCGCACCGCGCTCAACCAGTGAGCAGACGGGTCTCTATATGGGATCCAAACCCTTGGCGGGAGCGCCGCCGCACTCCCAAGTGCCACACCCTACTGAGTGCGCCACTGGGCCGGCCCCTGATTTCACAGTTTTAAAGAATAGACATCAAAGTGGGAGGACAAAGACATGCACTCACTTCTGTTCTTTCTAGGAAGGTCTCCTAGTTTTCTGCCTTTAGTCTATCTATGTATCTAATTCCACCCTGAGCAGCTGGAAGGGACATATAAATGACTGTGTTTTTATATTTTACTAAAAAAGAAATAAATGGCATTTATATGGAAGCATATTGCTAAAGCATGCAAAAGAATTGTACCGTGTTTATGGGTTTTAATTTTAAAAAGAGACTAAGGGCTAACTTATTTAACAAAAACATATTACACACTAGTTGTATGCCAGCCACTGTTCTAGGCTCTGGGT